AGAGAAGAGGGAGGGCGAGAGAAAAGAGCAGCGTTGGCACAACAGAACAATCGGCAGGAAATTTTCCTCCAGCTTTTTTTTTTTTTTCTGCTTCTTCTTCTCTCTCTCTCTTCCTCTTTCCAAAGAGGGGAGACGCAGCGTTACAACCGTTCACAAACAACAACGCGCCAAAGAGCTCGCCGGCAGCGTCCGCCGCGTGCGGCCGTTCCCGCGATGACGTAACCCTCGCCGCAGCACAAGTTGAACCCTGCCGTGATCTTTCAGCGAGGGAAAGGGAACGGGCCGCTCACGGCAGACCTGAAACGATGCTGCGGAGCTAACGTGCCGCTTGCTACGATTTTACGGCCCGTGAGCAACGCCAGGGCAAACAGAGTCGCAGTGCAAACGAAGGGGTGGCGAGGTACGTTACCCAGCAGGTTCCCTGCCTGAGAGAGGCAGGTCAACGCAGGGCTGAGTTTAAAACACATTTGCGGCCTCGGGCTTATTCTCCGTTTGAAATCTTGGAATTGTGTCGAATAGAAGCTTTTCTGTATTTTCTTCTAAAAAGAGAACAAGCAGGCACGGGACAAGAGACAAATGTTACAAAAATAGTAAGTTGCTACAGAGGTCAGTTAAAAACTGCAGCGCTCCCAGAGACCTACATTCAGCTTTTTAAAACCTCGGGACATAAACCCCAGTGGCAAACGTGCATTTTGAGATTGTTTCTGATACGGTGTGGCCCCTGCGCAAGCGTGCTTTTATCGGCAGGGGCAGATGCGCGGAAAGGGATTCTCCGTTGCTTGAATACTCAGCTGCCCTTGTAGTTTCACTCGAAGGAGAAATAAGGCACAATATATACTCTAAACGGAGGGCAATCAAGCACAGGGACGAGCCTCCGGGACGGGGTGGAAGGGGACGCCTCTCGCTGCTGGCAGGGGGACCCCTGCCTCGCCTGGAGGCAACGCCACAGGGAGCTCGGGTCCAAGGACTTTGCGTGGCGGAGCTGCCGGGCGCAAGGCCGTGCCCCGCGCAACGGGCAGCTCAGGCTCACGGGTCTCCTCTGGCCTGAAGGTCCGTGGGTCTCTTCTCCCCACCTGACATGAGGTTGCCTTGCCCCCGCCAGATACAAGCCTGCAAAGCGGGTCATGGACTCTAGACGCCTACCTAGGGAGAGGGAAGGGTCATCAGGGCAGATGAACAGATGAGCAGCCGAGACCCCTCTTCCCAGGCAGACTTTCCTTCCAGCAAGCAGTCCCGAGGAACATGCTGCTAGGCAGACGTGTTTTTCAGCGCAACATCTGAGAAAGGTTTTTGTGAGGGGCTGGGGACCATTGGACGGAGCAGCGGACGGCAGAGGAGCGAGAGCAGCGCCGACTCCCCTCGCAGCGCCGGAAGGTGTGCGCTGCCCCGAACAAACCCGAGCTGCGGAGGCAGGAGGGAGGCTGCTCACCCACTCCCCCACCAAAGAGTCTGCTCCCTCCAAGCCAAGCATTGCTTTCAACTGTTTTTTTTAAAGCTACACCCCCTAAACATTTTGACTGGTCTCAACTGAAAAACAACAAAACCGCCACTTCTTCAAAGACCATCCGATGACCCGATGGTGTCATTTGAAAAGCCATGCAAGAGCAACAGAGTATTTGAAGTGAAAGGCTTCACAACATCATTTCAAATCTCTGCTGGCAAATCTGTGTACAGTAAAACCAATATACCACCATCCTCAAAGACATTATACACAGCAGGCACCACCTCTCTAAGCCACTGAAAATATCACCGTAGGTCACACCAGCTGCAACGCTGACTGCTCTGCTCAGATCATAGGCTGCATACTTTAATGTGAAACTGTACTTTCTTTCTCCCCTTTTTTAATCAGGTCTTGAGAGGGAAAGTAGTGCTGGCTTTGGGGATTTCTCTTGTTTCATCGCTGCAGTCCCATGTTGGATTTTCAAGGCATGGTAGGTCTGCTCTAATGCTCTTCATCTTTGGAAATATCCCTGTCTATCTGCATCATGAGACTTCTGTGGGAGAGAGAAAAGCAGTACCCACTTCTTTGAAACTGTCATTTATATCCAGATCACAGTCTTTAGCCAACAGGTTTTGGTTTCATGTAATCCTGCTTCAGATCTTCTACCCAATCTAGAAAAAATCAGCACCCATGGAGTTACCATCTCAGCAGGTTTGGGCTAGAAAACTACTGTGGAATTTGCAACCACTGACGCATCTCCCTTTTTAAAACTTATTTGCTCACTAAAATATATAGGTTTCTTTTCTACCTCCTTCACACACAGGCATGCCCCATTGCCCCAGGAGGAAAACATCCAAACTCAAGATCTCACTCACTTGCAAGCCTTTGGCATGATTGCAAACTTTAAGTGAATCAGGGGAAGGGAGGCTCTCTTGGTCCAGAGTTCTTTACAATACTGAATAACATGCATCTTTTCTTATTCTTAGATAACTGTTGAGAGGCAGCAACACGACCTTGGCGCTTACGGGTTGACTTTCACCGGTTTCTCTCTTATAGTTGGTCTAACAATAAGACAGTGTTTTCTATTTTAGCAGTTTTTTGTCTAGAATTTTTCCACTTAACTAAATAGGAAGATTTCATTTCCTTCCCCTCAAACCAATTGTTTTCTGGCTACCAGCAAAGATCTGTGAGAAAGTGTCTCAGAAACAGAGATTTCTGGCATGCCACCTGTTCATAACTCAAATACACAGAACTATATATAAATACATGACATGGAACAAAAATACACACACACACAAGGATCCTGGGTGGATTTTCAGATGCGTTCAGCGTGCTCCCTCCAAAGTCAATGAAAACCCAACCCAGAACATCTGATGAGAGTAAATATGGTGAGGAAAACATACACATAAGAAAGGCAGAGCTGGAGCACAAGCCAGCGTGGAGGAGGTGCTTCCCCTGTACAGAGCGCTGCCTCCCCGCTGCGAAGGCTCAGAGAGTCTGAGGTTCACAGGGCAGGAGGTCCTAAGCTTTCCAGATGTGTGTCAGGGCTCAGAGAAGCTCTGATAGACTTCTCCCTGCCCCGTGCTGATCTCTGCAGGAACAGCAACAATTGACCTTCCAAATGTCCCTTCTCCACTAAGATGTGGATTTTGAGCTTCTTTTAATGAGAGCTAGCATCTGGAAACAAGGAAGCGCAGCCAGCGTTGTGGCACCAGGCCAGCTCTGTTGCAGGCACCCCCAGCAAGCTCGTGCGAGAGCAGTCCACGGGCTACTGTTTGCAGATGGCTCTGGGTAAAAATCCTACTCGTTGCCCTTTTCCTGACTGACACAAATGGCCATGTGTTCATTATCCTGGCGATGGGACACTCGGGCACGTCGTTTTTGAAGCTGGACTGGTAAATTTTCCTGCTGTTTTCTAGCCCACACTGGCCCTTGGGTATGCATCTACAGTGCAGAAGAGACAGCACATGCTTAGCGCTAACCAGGACAGTGGAAACTGGCCAAGAGATCCGATGGATGAATACAGTCTGCCACAGCACAGAAATCACTCCGGCTGGCACACTGCAGATATCTGAAAGTTTTTGCTCTTTCGCAGCAGGATTTTAAGATGATCCTGTGAGTTCAGACAAAATGACAAACTCATTTACATGCAAATTGCTTCCGTAGCTTTGCAGAAAGGAAGGTTCTGCCGAGCAATGTTGGACCCTGCATTTGGCCTGCCTTAAATTATAACATAACAATTATAATAATACAAATACTACTTTGTACACAAAGCACGCCCTCCCCTGCAAATCCTGGCATGCTTCGGTAGGTCCTACAGCCCTCTAGTCAATAATCACCCTCTCTGTACGGAGAGACATTGAGTGACCTGCCTGAGGCCACAGAGGAATTCTGTAGCAAGTCCAAGGAAAGCTTTGTGGCTCCTAGCTCTGCTTCTTGACCAACATTAACCAGCCCCAAATATATGCAAAAAACATCAAAGTCGACTGTGCCAGGAAGAAATCAAATCAGAAAACAAACAGAAAACCGACCCTGGGGTACTGGGAGGCCCCTTGGACTTTGCTGTTTCATCGGGGAAGTTAAGTGTTAAAAGCTTTGTTATACCTGTGTTAAGATCACATGGCTGTTGTGCATAAACCGGGAAGAAAAAACGGCCAAGTTAGCTTGTAGGCAGAAAGGGGTGGAAGAGAAGCTGCACCTCCCCGCCAAGGAGTGAAGAGTTGCCACCAAAAGGCAATGAGCAGGGAAAGGCTTGGGGAATATGCATCAGAAACAAGCCTGCAACAGCAGCAGGGGGCAATGCCTGTGGCAGTTTGCTTCAGCGTATCCACAAGGGCTCGCGTCTCGGCACAGAGACGCAGCCTGCAGGGGACACGGTCCTCTGCACACCATGTTTTACTCCAAGGAGGAGGCCACAGGGATCTAGGAGGAGGGGGACGCATCAAACCAATTTTTATGCTTTACAGTCCAAACCCTGCTGAGAAGAGGGATACCAGCCGCAAAGAGCCAACACAGCAAGACCGAAGGGGAAAATGGAGCTGTGCTAGGGCACTACGCTGCTGGAACAGGGAGGAGAGTTGGCTTTACTGAGGCTGAGACTTTACTGTGCCGTGCCGGGGCAGTGGAGATCTCCGTTTCATATGCTTTTAAGCAGCCCCCTGGATCCTGCAGAGCTGCTGAGGTTTTCCCTGTGAACAAATGGTCCTTTCTAGCTTCTCAAATTCTGTACAATAGCAAGGAAAAAATACTTGACAGTATCTCTTTAAAGATAAACACACTGTAAACAGGAGATCTCCCCCGCCCCGGTAGCCTTCTTCCTCCTGCTTGTGCAAAACCAGAGGTTGCGACCTTCCCTGGGGTTCAGGCGCAAGGACAGGATGCGCGAGAATAAAGTTGCCTCTGTTTGCAGCGATACCATAGCTAATAGCACCAAGACCAACACTTAAAACATGCCTAATTTGAGGGCAGGGAGGATCTGAGTTTGTTTTTCTTGACTGAACTAGAAAGTTCATCTTTAAATCTGTTCAGCTTCAAGCATGTGAGCTTTTGGCCTCCTTTAAACAGGGGAAATACCATTCCGTTTCTGAAAAGCAAAAAAAAATAGCACATGGAAGAACAGTTCTGCAGTCAGTAAAAGTTTGGCTAACAAAAGGACTCGAGAGTCACGTAAAGAACATTTAATCCATGGATTATAGGCTCGCACCTGGCAGAATGCATGTGTAAATACAGGCGCGCAGAGCGCCTGCCTACACCCTGGGCTAAGGCAGAGGGGAGTTCTGTAGCTAGGAGAGAGAAAGGATTCCTACTACTAATTTTCATAGTTAAATATTTCTCACTCGCACTCACACATATGCAGGCTGTTCCCAGAGAGCTCAGCCCTGGGAAGGATAAAGGAAAGGGCTCAGTTCGGTCTGGGCTGGTGCTGAGTAGCTCCTCTTCTGTTTGCAGTGGTTGTGCAGCAAACTCTTTCATTTGCAGGCAGAGTTTTTACTGCATTAATTATCCTGTGAGTCACTGGGTAATGGACAGTAACTTGGCTCTCCCAGTTGTTAGGAGGGTGTAATTCAGCTCTAATGCAGCGGGTTGTCGAACACAGCATCTGGCAAGATGGAGACTTTCAGTTTCTTTTCAGGCCAGCTGTACTCCTTTGGAAGTTTAAACTGTAAGATGATAAAGAGAACCAGTTAATGTATATCACTGCAACCTAACCCACAGAAAAACAAAGTCATCGCAAAGGCAGGCAGCCCTCTGTTATTATTTTTTTTTAAAACAAGAGGCCACTAAGAAAACATTTCCCCATCAGTATGTTTTGGACAGCAGTGGACATTAGATAATGTGGTCTGTGCCTCAGCTGCCAAAGTAAAGTTCTGAGATTTCGGCCCCAGCATTGTTTATTTCATCAGATGGATTCTGGAGGGTGACTGCTCCCATCACCACTTCCCCTCCCCGATTTCACTGAAAATTTGCAACACAAGTATCTCCCCCTCCCACTTGACCATGTCCGTTTCCTTTCAGCTACCCCCTGGCCCCAAGAGCCCCCGTTCGCTTTAGAGAGAGGATTATGGCAGCTTTAAAATTCTTCCCCTTGCACGGCGGGGTGCAGGCGAGACAGTGTGCTTCTGCAAAGGTGAAAGAATCGCAATGGTGTGCAAATGGCCATCAGCTCCAGGAGGGCAAATTGTGCTGCCCTGTCCGGGGAGAGGCAGCATGCCTGAAGAGCGCTGCCGCTCAGAGCCCTACCCACCTCTGCTACAAAGGCTTCGTGGAGCGCCTCTACAATGCCTTGTATTCACACAGGCACTCAGCTGCTCAGGCTGTTTTGCAAACATTGATTGAAGCACATGGAGCAGAGATTTTTGCCCCAGTCTGGTTTACACAGCACTGTCTCTGGCAAATGTTTCCCGAACAATGCAAGCAAGTACACTGGTCCCACTAGCCCTGATGTTGCTCCAGGACACACCGCCTTCGGCTGGGAAGTCACCCCACCATCTCTGACCCCAAAGAGGACTGCCTGGGGACAGAGGTCCAAGAAGCCCTTGCCATCCCCTGTCACAAACACATCTGACCAGGGCTCGTGCATCCATGCAGACCTCTCAGAAACAGCTTTGTCAGGGGGAGGGGGAAAAAGGAGGAACCGAACCATTGCAGAGAGGAACACCACGGGCCATTCCCAGGCAGCAGCATCCCTGCAAGGGTTAACGTGGACCAGGCCCTCCCATCCCTTCCTGTGCAAAGGGCAGGCACAGAGAGAGGTGCCATGTAGCAGTGGGGGCTTGGGGCTTCTGTGGGGTTGACAAGTGCATCCCAGAGCAGGAAAAGTCCCCTCTCTACGACATCTCAATTTTGTGCTCACTGCTGAGCTGGCAAAGACATGCCTGAGAGTGGAAAAAGTCCAAAGAATGCAAACACCCTAGATGTAGTAAAGGCTTCAAATCCTTACGTGGCAGAATGGCAGCCTGGATATTTAAAGCTGCTGTTTGCGTTTGAGGCTTTTATAGATGACCAAGAGCTTTCTAGACTCTGGATGGTGCCCCTTCCAGAGCTGGATAACAGAGAGGCCTGGAGCAGCGTTTCAGGCCATCCTGCTGCCAGGCCTGAGGGTCCACAGCACATGGGGGACAGTTCTGGAAACCGGTTTGCAGAATGACTTTGTTTTTTAAACTGTGCTGCACTCATAGTGTAGTACCATCTGACAGCATGATAGGACCTGATACCCCAAAGGGATGCTAGGGATATCTAGCTGGGATCTGGCACCGTCAAAGACACTCCGACCCGGCGGCAGCTAATTCGGGATGATTAAAGAGGGATCCTCTCCTGAGAGAGTCCTCAGACCAAGGCCAACAGCGCTGCAAGCTACGTAGGGGCTATGAAAATTAGAGTTGGTGTAAGGGGACAGTGACGAGTGAATCATCATCTGTCTTTATCCAATTAGATGTCCTGTCCTTCCGGTAAGCACCTCGTTTCTGGAGGACATTAACATACTCAGAGGCAGATTCCTGCTAAAGGAGTTCCCCGCCAGCTGTCTGCTCCACTCTAACAGGTTAGGAATTTGCTCCTGAATCACTCCATTTGCAGCTCATGTATGAGGGTAACTTGCAACCGGTACTTAGTATGCTGGGCTGGTGGTTCAGGGCCTGAGCCCTGCTCTGGCGGCAAGGCAGGAGGATCATTCAGGATAACGGCTACCATAAACCCCCACTCCTTAGCCTCTAGGAAACATAAACAGTCCAAGCCCCACCTAGGGCTGTTTTTTTGAGTCCTGTGTATAGCCTGTACCATATAACCTAGTGGTCCTCTACGTCCAGGGGACACTTCTGAGTTTAGTGTCTAGAGTGTGCAAAAAACACGCTAAAGATACTCAGACAGGTCATTTGGTGTTAATTTCATTTTCCACTGGTGGCTCATTACACAGTGAAGGAAAGACTCTCTGCAGCACGGACAGGGCTTCCTTCTGTCACATGAACATCATCAGTAACCAGCCAGGGCTGCTGAGGAGCTCACTAAGCCGGCCCAAACTGGGATCCTGTAACTTACAAGTCCTTGGAGGAATCTGGATGCTGAGCGATCACGTTTCATCTAAAGCATTTCCTTTTTCTAAACAGCAGTGGTTCCAAAGCAGTCCTCTTGGAGAAGTCATCCTTTGCATTCATTTATTTTTTACTTGTTAATTTAGCAAAGTCGCAGTAATTCAGAACCAAGGGCCTGTTCGCTTTGCCAGGAGCTGCCGTACCCGCTGCCTTTGCGTCTCAGCAGAGAGCGATAGCACATGAGCTGCCCAAAGCCTTAACTACAGGGCCTTCAAATCGAGTGTTCCTGGGCATCCATGGCACTGGCAAAAATGAGCTTTGGATTAGGTTTAACTGGATACAAGCTGGCCTGAAAGTCACTGCACAGCCAGCAGCGTGCGCCCCTCACTCACACAGTGAAGAACACCCTGGCATTAAATCAACCCAGGATTAAACAATTAGAGCCCTGAGATTTTCCTGGGGGGAGGGGGGCGGGTGAGGCATGGGAAGGCTGCTCGACAAGCCAAGGAAAGTTTCTTTAGAGTCTGCAGGGAGCTGTAAAAAATGGGATTAAAAATATTACATGTCATTTCTGCCACTGCTCTTTGAAGTCAGGCAGAATATTTATATGGCATGCATGGGAGACAGGGTGTTAAATGTTCCCCAGGAAGAGATCACATGGCAGGGGGAAGTTTAGCACCACACAGCAAAGCTTTATAAAGCTCCCTCTGCTGCTGCAGCTCAAGGCTTCCAGGCTGGCGACGGGAGACTGCGCGCTGTGCACTACCTTGCAGGGCAGCAGGTGAAGGCCAAGCAGCAGACATGAAAAAGCCCCGTCTGCTCCCCAGGGCAGAACGGAGGCCCCTACAGCAGATCGTTCAGTTGCAAACGTGCTGCCACCCAACTGCCTTTCTGAAAGCGGGGAAGGTGGAGTGCCTACAGCTGCTGCAGAGGACACTTTCTACAGCACGGAGGCAAACCCAGCTTCCCGGCCCAAGGGCTGCACCGCTTCGATTCGGGGCACTTGGATAGCGGGTGGGGAATGCCCCTGGGGGCACCCATGTACCTGATTCACTGCCCGCACCCCTCTCCCCTCACACGGAGGTTACACAGCCTCCTCCTCAACACCCACTGCTGCCCTGTATTTCCTGCTATCAATTCTCCTCTCAGTGCGTTAGTTTGCATCAGCAGATGTGGAGACCTAATGAGGCCTCGAGCCCACGAGGCAGGGCTGCAGCCTGCCCGCGGAGGGCAGGAACAAAGCAAAGCAGCAGAGCGGGAGAGCTGGGCCACTGCTCGCGCGGGGACGGTACAAGGGAGACATGGGAACAACGTGGCCTTACTTCCTCCGGAGAATTCAGATCTTCTAAATCTTCCAGCATTCTCTCTACAAACTCTTCGGTCAATAGGATCTGCAAAGGAAATATAGTTGTTGATGCTTTTATACTCCCAGCTTGAGCTAACTGCCAAGTAAGAGAACTACTTCTGTACAGAGCAGACTGTACCAGCTCACTCCTCCTTCCCCCATGTCCTTCTTTCCCGCAACACAAAGGTTTTGAGGGCAAGCAGCTCATAATTTTGCCTCCCACCCCAACCGCTGCAAAAAAATGTTAAAATTATATGGCAATCTTTCTCGACCCTCAATTATCTTCCTCAATCTAAAATTAGAGGCTCGGCTTCAGACAGAGAGAGTGGGAAAGGAGGAAAAGGGGTCAAGATAACAACAGCCAGAAAGACAGTGGGAGACAGAGCCACTTTCGTCCGATTCATGGAAGTTAAGTTTACAGTTTAATCGGGAGACAGCAGTGCAGGGAAAGCCTGAAACCCATACAGAGCTGGTACTCTGGGCACACGGAGGGCTCTCATCTGGAGCGCAGCATGTCATTGAGACGAATGAAAGGTTCAGTGAGGGAGGTGCTCCCAGAGGTGCCAGTGGTAGGAGCTGGAGGCCTCGGGAACCTTGGTTTAGGATCTCAGAAAATCCGTTCTGGTCTTTCCCAAACTTGCAGATTTTCCCTGCTCTCAGTTGTATCTCTCACTTGCTGATCCCACATGCCTGTGCTGGGAAAGCTGCTGGCTCATCTCAAGGCCTGGCCAGCAAGCACAAAACAGCCCAGAGAAGTGGCTTCTGACAGGCCAAAGTCCCCCCCCGAGGGCCACAACCCCAGCTGGTCCTGGCCCCCAAGGACCCTGAGCCACACAAACCAGAGACACGGGAGGGGAGACCAGCCCCAGGAATTCAAGAGGAAAAACTTCCACCCTCTTTAAATAAACGCGTGATAGCCAAAAGCAAACACGTTCTGCCTCTCTTCACAACAGCCATGAAGGCCAGAGCTACAGGCAGGGCAGCTGGCTTGGCACAGGAGCTGAGGAGGCAGCGCAGGACAAGGAAAACATCCCCACGCAGTGAGGGGGCGTCGGAGCGACATTCCTGGGAGTTAGGTTGCAGCAGTATCCAGCAGATTATTCCCATTTCAACCTACAGGCTTCTTTCTTCCCCACTGCTCCTCCTTTCCTTCCTTTGCTCCACCCTTTTCTCTATCTCTGGCACTACTTTCCACCCCAAAGCAACCATCAACCCCAGTTCCCTTTTCTCACCCTTCCCTTTCCCTGCCCCCAGGCATAAGCTCTGCGCTCCCTCCCAGAGAAGAGACCACTCCAGCATCAAACACGGAGGGAGCCCATTGCCCCCAGCCCCTTTTCTTTCTGCTGTCCCCTCTAGCTCCAAGCTGGAAGAGGGGCAGCCAGACTGCCCCATCTCAGTGCAGGAAGCCACATCCTATGCCTGCAAGCCGCTTGGTGCCAGCAACATCAGTGGGGAGCACGTGACTGCCGGGATGCTGCAGGCAGTTTTGGGAACATGTGGACTAGGCAAATGGACAGGTGAAGAAAGGGCAGACTGATCTCCCTTTCTTCTTCTGATCGGCAAGAGAAGTGACCCAGAAAAACCAAATCCAGATTTGAGAGCTCTGAGGTGTCCCAAGTTCTCTTCCCTTCCACCTTGCCACCCTGCTGCCATTACACACTGATTTCCTGGGGGCTGAGAGAACTACAACCTCCCCTCTCCATCACATTCCTCTCCACCCTCTTAGCTTAGCTCAACCTGCAGCAGGCTCCAGGCCGGGGTTCATGACTGCGCTGCAGCCTCTCTGATCCTACCTTGAGCCTGGAAAAACCTTGCGTTAGCTATGAGCCAGGATCTTGCTGCTTTGGACAGGACTCTGCAACCTGGCACCAATCTGCAGACTGGCAAGCTGAGAAACATTGCACAGAAACACGTAGTAACACCGCAAACTACTGCAGTCTCCTTGCAGGAGACCGTAACTAGTGTGCCTGTTGGACTGGAGACGCTCGTTTGTTGACTGCGGAAGTGAGGAAGCAGGCCGTCCACAGTCAGAGGCAGAAGGGCAACCTGATTGCTTAGCTCAGAAGGAAGAGCTGGGTGGGGAGCTGGGGCTCTCCACAGAGCAGATCAGATGCTGCAGAGGTGCAGCCTACCATGGGGTGAGGGAATGAAAACAATTTGGCAGACGTCAAAATCTACAGAGCAGACGGAAAAAGGAGGAGGAATTGGTATTCACAGCAATCAGGCAAGGAGGAAATGAATATTCAGCCATCCACGGATGAGCAGAAATGCCAGAGGTTGGGATGGGTGAGAGAGCAGGAATTAGGAGCCGCAGCTTTGGCAGGGGGACTAAAAGCTGAGCTGAGCTGAGCTGAGGACCCCTGGGCGTTCCCAAGGTGCCAGAGGCAGGGGAGAAATGGGAACCACGTGTGCGAGGCAGCCAGCTGCTCTTAGGCTGCTGGAAAATGAGACAGGGTGTGCATGGGTAAATAGCAAAGGCTGGAGAGAGTACAGGGGGAACAGGTCAGGTCTTGGCCAAAGCACAAACTCCCAGACTAGGGAGAAACGTGGAGCAGTGTAGCTAGCACTCACCTGGGGTGCAGCTGGGGTGCAATCCCACAAGGTGGCTGAGCTCATCTGCAGTTTTCCGCCACCCTGTCAGTGGATGTTGTTAACCCAGCTAAAAAACTCCTGAATTCTGCTGATTTAGTGAGATGAACTGGCTCCCTGAAGAGTCTGACAAGTGGAGAGGGGACAAGAGACCACAGCTCAGTGGTCTTGTGAACCGTGTTCGCGAGATCTAACTGACGGCAGTCTGCGCTAGTGCAGCGGGCTACGGAAAGATCGCGGTGCTGTTCTGCACGCCCTGCGTAGACAGTTAACTTTGGTGGAGGGCAGGCGTCTCCGGCTGCAATGACAAAATGCTGCAGTGACATTCACACAGTGTGTCACTTGGAGCCAGCAAGCAACAACCTACATCAGAAAAAAAAAACACCCCAAACCCTACTGCTCCACACAGCCTCACTGCTGGGGAACCTGCCCTCCTCCCTGGAGGAGGAGGGAGGCTCCGAAGCGCACGTGTAACCAAATATACAAGTGACCCGGACTCTCGGCACAGGAAATTGGCACTCTCGAACTCTCTTGAGGATGCAGGGGGAAGGCATGTGTTCCCAGCGCACGAACTGCTGAAGAGGGCTTTGAAGTACTGTGATCCTGACTTCACATCTAGATGAGATTTCTCCACTTAGAACCAGCCTAACCAAAGCAGCCGAAGGCCTGCGCTCACAGATCAGGCTGGCATCCACAGCTGCCATCAGCAGAACCAGCTTCATGCTGGTGAAGGAGTCTTTGCTCCCACAGAGGAGGATGACAGTAAATCCAAGCCAGCCTCAGCTTCCCTCACTCACAATATTTGAGGTTTCCAGCTCTTGTAGCACGCCTGCTCCTGCACAGTATGATACTCCATTACATTAACACGCACACGTTATATGTACATGATATTAAAGGTGACATTCCCAGCAAATAAACATGACAGACTGCCATTGCTCTAGGCACCTAATTTAATTTCCTTTGGGATTTAAACCTTAGAAGCTCAAATTAAACAAATAGGCCCTGTTCACTTTATATTTCAGCCCTGAATCTAGAGTTTTCCTCTGATGCTGTTAACTGATCTTATCAACAGGACACTGCACAGAGATCATAACGACGAAGCAGCTTATTCACTCCCCAAAGAGCAACAGAGGCCTGTTGTGCTGCAACTACGGGAAAAGCCTTTGCGATCTGGAGGGCAAACGAAGCCGTTTTACGCACAGTCAGAGCCGGCTGTGCCTCTGCTCCGAGCAGAGGCCTTTTCTCCTGTGAAATCTCTTGGCCAGTGCTGAGGAAGCAAAGCAGCTCTCTCGAGTTGCTGCTGGCATCTCCACTGGTGCCGGAGAGGCCGGGCACTCGCAGCGCTGTGTTTTCACAGTTCTGTGCAAACACTCCCGCCTGCCCGGCCTGCCGAAGCCGGTCACAGGGTGCAGCTCAGCCTTTGTAATGGCTGTTTGCAATATGCACAGGGAACAGCCTCGCCAACCAGCTGGGGATAATTGAACCGTTCCCTTCAGTGCTGCACAGTCCTGCTCACACCAGGATCTCCGTGATGTGACCCAGAGAGGCCGAGACACATGCAATCCAATTGCTAGCAGATTTAAACTCCATTTTATATGTGCTTTGCAGCTCTGCTCATGCTGTAGATGCTTTGAAAGACACTGACTAGCCAAGAGATAAGTCCCTCTTTTCTCTCTATCACAGGTACCTTCTGCACAACCTGGAGTCCAAAGTTTGGGCTCTCGCTGCCTCACTAATGGCTGTATATGTCCAGACATGTTTCAAAATACCATGCTACGCAGTCTTATTCAGGTAGATGCATTCAGGGAAAAGACCTGCTGCATGCATGATGTCTCCCTCTCGTGGCAAGTCCCACCTGCGCTCACTGAAACCTACTCCCTACGTACAGGACTTGCCTATAGGTCAAGTGAAGGAGCTTGTGCTGAAGCTTTTGTACCCGCAGATAGCTGAGAAACCTGTATTGTGACTTGTTGCAGGTACACAGCTGTGAGTGCATGAAAACAGGCAAGATCTAAAAACGCCCACAGGGTCACGGGGCTCTAGACCAGTTCATCTGCCTTTGAAAGCAACTGATGCTTAGTGAAACACTAAAAACTTTATAATCAGCCTGTAGGTACCATTCCGCACCTAGTACATGTCCCACTTTGGTGTTCAACCCTACCACCACGGCTTGAAGTTCTCGGCCTGGGACAGGTTGGCTAGGGCCACAGGTCACCCAGATGTTGACAGCCTGGCACAGCTGGCAAGTCTTTGATCAAGGAAGACCATCGGAAGCTGAGCTAAGAAGTTAACTGCAGCTCTCTCCAACTTCAGAAAACATTTTGTCCGTGGCAAGATACAAGTGATTAGCCCAGGGGCGATCAAGCACGGCTGCTTTTCCCAGTAATACTCATTTTTCTTGCGTTCCTAGGAACAAACCAGACAATCCTACACTTTGCCCCAGTGCTTTGTTTGCAT